GGGGGGGGGGGGGCAGCGGTGAGCATGGCAAGAAGAGGATACAGTACATTCAGTAAACAAAAAAAAAACAGGAGAAAAAGAAAAAATATGCAAGATTAGAATCAAAACCACCGAAAAGAATTAAATAAAAATCAGAACACTTTTTTCCAGTTTGTCTTTTTTTTTTTTTTTCAGTCATTGATTTGAAGCTCGCTCTGGGCTGTGCCAGTCTTATAGTAGTCCAAGTCTTATCTCGGGAGAGTGAGCTTGGTCAGTTGTTTGTGTAGATTTTAATTGTTTTCTTGCGTTATTTAAAATCAATGTTCACGTCTACATCTCTACAGACCCGACGTCAAAGGGTCAGGCGGGGGAGTAGTGGTAGGGTGCAAGTCTTCCATGACCTGACATATGCACAGGCATTTACACAAGTGCGCACACACACACACACACACACACACACGCGTTCGCGCACACATACATACGTACACGCACACGCTCTTCACGCATAAACACACAGAGTGCATTCTGATTCCTATCACCCCTGGGTACAGGCTTTTTCTTTTCTTCTCAGCTTAGCGCACTAAGTATGTCTCTCTCTTCTGTACAAAAGCAGCCTCCTTCCCTGGAATCGGAGTCTGCGCATTTCTCCTCACTCCTTCTCTTCCTTTATTTTTTTTTTCATTTCTTCTTTTACTTCTTTTGAGAGTTGAGCAGTTTGTCTGCCTCTGGGTACGTTGGGTACTTCACAGTCTCGATTTTCTCTTTGACCTTGTAGGAAGGGTAGAGGCCAGTGCGGCCCAGTTTGCGGTTGATGCCTTTGGAGTATCCGTCCCAGTGGTTGCCGGCCACGCCGATCACGTCGCCGGGCTCCAGGGGAATGTCCTCGCTATTACGTGGCTGGTGGGGGTAGATGGCGATCTGGTTGTGGGCATTTTGACCTCCAAAGTAGTAAATATCATCCAGGGAGTAGAAGAAGGAGGAGGCGTCTGGATGCAGCGTCTGCATAATCTCATAGGCCACACGGCAGACCTGAGACAGAAACGGAAGCAGGGATTATTTTCATTTTTAGATCTATAAATGTAGAGGAATTTGTATTGATGACAATGCTTTAGAGGTATGCCAACACTCTGATAGAGGGACAAAAGGACTTCTCGCTGTAAGACATATACCTTTCATTTCAGTCCTGGTTAAAGAGGGATAAAATGCGCTAAGCGACTCATTCTAGTCAGATCCTTGAAGTGCACTAATAAGCCCGGAGTGTGAATAGGAATTATGTGGCTAACACATTATTTTTAGGGTTGGCAGGAAGCCCATCCACTCCACGTTATAACTCGCTATAAAACAGCACTTCAGAAGCTGAAATGACCAGAATAATGGATGACAAATGCCATTGTAACGCTAACGCTGTAATAAATGGGCTGATTGTTTCTATGGTTTGGAACATGTGAGTGAAAATGGGACAATGCTGTTGTTGACAATCGCATGATTGTGATTATCAGAGTAGCTTTGGTTTGTCTTGTGACAAACTGGAAATGTCAACTGATAATTGTCTTTGCTGCAGCTCTAACAGGCCATTTAAACACGACGGCTTTGACCTGATTTTGTTTTCTATGGTTCCATTTAGAATTTAACATCAAGTGTTTTTGTTTCATCTTTATTTATTTATTTTATTTTCATTTTTATTTGTAGTTCTTCAGCTACTTTCAAAATTTAATTTAGTTTTATGTTTTTGCTATTACTTGGTCATTCCTATTCTTCTTCATAAACTGTAATTTAGTAATTTGACTCATTATTCATGTTAATTCAACGACAAACTAGAATCATCCAGCCATCCAGTCCAGTTGCAGTTCAACAGCACGTGAATTCTTGAGTTGTGGCTAAAAAGGTGTTTTGTGTGGTGACACAGTGACCTTGACCTTTGACCACCTAATTCTAATCAGTTCATCCTTGAATCCAAGTGAACATTTGAGTTACTGTGATGTTGCGTTCACAAGAATGGGACGGAAACATAATTCCTCCGCCCACCGCTGTCACCAGTGCAGAGGCATAAAACCAAACATTTTAAATTTGAAAGTCCATAGAATATGGCTTGACAAAAAATAAAATCTAAGCCCAAGTTCAACTCAATTTTCCAGAGCTTTCAGCCACATCTGGTGGCCTTCATCAACAGATGGACCTCACTTTAATGATTAAATTGTTATCACCTCACCTTAGCATGGAAGTGTGGTCATGTGACAACAGGTGGTGGCACTCCATCATTGATAAAGACCATGAGATGTGGCTGAAAGCTCCAGTAAGTGGAATTTTTTCTTTTTTTTTTTCTTTTAAACTAATCTCTTATTGGAAGGTTTTTGTATTCAGCAGCATATTATGGAAGTCATATGAGAGTATTTACATTCTAATGGAAATCTATTTAACAATATCTGACCTCTAACAAAAGAACACCTTGTTTTTACAGTTGTTGTTTTACTACATATTAAAACACATTCATTTTATTCCACTTTCAGCTTTCTAGTCTCCAACCAAGCGCACATCAAAATTTCAGTCAGCTCTTCATATTAGCCTAGACTGCTTTCATCCCAACATCACATCCATCTCAACCTTCATTCTCATTCAAGAACATGTCATATAACTTTTTATGTTGTCTTTGAAACATGGATTGGGGCGAGTGGACTGACCTGTGAGGAGAAAGTGCAGACCAGGAAGTCGGTCTGGGACAGGAAGTGGATGTCCAGGATGACTCCTCTCAGCGAGTTCTCGGTGTAGCGGTTGTGAAGGCCTGCTGACCACGAGATGGAGTTATCACTGATGAACTCGTAATCTGGATACCTGCAGGGGACAATAAGACAGGAGGACAAAGTCAGATAAAGTCATGTGAGAACGTAAAAATGAATACGATCAGATACCGACACATATGGACAAAAACGTATCGAGACAAACTGACAATGGACATAAACACACACAACACACTCCAGGACACTGACTTGGTCTTAGCTTCTTGCAGCAGCGACGGGTCGTCGGTGGCCAGGTAAACTCGTTTCTTGTCGACATGGACACGTCGGGCCAGATGTTGGAACTGCTCCTCCACATGCAGCATGTACTCCTCGATGGGGTGGAAGGCCGCCTCCGTCCCCACTTTATCTGTCCTCCTCACATGGACTCTGCAGACACATAAACAGGGACACAGGCAGGGTTACAAACTGGTATTGTATTGGTAATTAAAAATAAATAAAATGAGAAGCTTTCCATTATGTTTACTGATTTTTTGTACACTGGTGTTTTTGGCATTTGCACTGCAATCCATAAAGGAGCAATAACATAGTTCTGGTGGTGCAGCTCACTACTGTATAATGTAATGCACTAGTGCACTGAGTTGGTGTGTTTGGATGGTGGAAGGAGCAACAGTTCTCAATTTCAAGATAAAGAAAATGTATAAGGCAACAAAGATTAGTCCATTAATCAAGTAGTCAACCAACAGAAAGTGAACTGGCAACAATTTTGATAATCAATTAATCATTTAACTAATTTTTAAGCAAAAAGGGGGGAAAAATCTTGGGTTACATGTTTTCCAATGGGAACATTTTCTGATTTGCTTACTTTCCTCCCTCTATGATAGTAAATGGGATATCTTCGGACTATTGGCTGGACACAAAAACACATTAGACAGCCATTTTTCATAATCTGCTGACATTTTATACACCAGACAAGTCATTGATTAATTGAGAAAATAATCCGTAGATGCATCCATAATGAAAATTACTGTTTGCTGGCACCCTAAAGTTTCATCCATTCCAGTTGGATAGTTTAGGAATAACTTTTGGAATATTTATTACTATTTAGGCACCAAAAAAATCCTTTGTCCTTATATTATACCTTGGTTAAATTACAGTTAAAACTCTTAGTTTCTGTCACACAGTACCAGCTTTTCTCAAAATTAAGAGATGACTTCCTGTTAACATTTTCCATTCTGATGGAAAAATATTTTATACTTGTTCCACATCAGTTTGGCAGATGCTTGCTCTACTGTCAGCTGTGCAACAGGAGTACACATTTAGTAGGATGTCCTAAAAGCATTACATTCGAAAGTAGATGAATTACCAATGAATCACAATTGAGGGAAACGAGGTGAATGAAAATCATTGACTGCTGATAAATTAATAACAATGCTGAAGTTAAAAAGGATTGAAATGGATGTTTTTTGATTCTTACTGACAGAACCTGGTTGGAATGCTACACTGTTTCTAGAATAATGGCAAATTCATTTTTGTAACACTTGTAATACTTGTCGCCAACAGTATTTTTCTTTTTCTGCCACAGTAAAATCAGGAAAAGAAACAGCACTTGAACTTAGGACAGCAGGTTTGAGGAATCTTTCCATTGTCTGTATGAACACAAAAAAATAAAAAAAATAAAAAATGATGGGACAAAAGACAGAGAAAAAAAAAAGGCAAACTGACAAGAGTGCGGGAGTTTAAGAAGCGTAGAGAGGCAGAGGAATGGACAGAAAGAGAAATAACCAACACAACTGTGTTTTTCCTTCAGTGTCCTTGTCATCACTTCCAGTAAGCAAGGACAAAGAGAGAGTGCTGTCACCGGCTGTACATATAAGAAAAAGAGCACAGCTTGAAAAAGGAACAAAGGATGGGTGAGAACGGACACATTTCCTCTCCTGACACGGGCGCATCCCTCAAACTGATGGATGCTGAAACACAATTTTATTCAGTCCACAACTATTCAATTACAAAATTACCCAGCCACATCTGCATTGTGACTTATGGCCTCCAGGAGAAAATAAAATTTCAAAAATCTAATGGTTGAAAAAAGAAGATGGAAGGCATCAACCTTCATTTCGTGGAGGGAAAATTGAGCGAACATGACGCTCCATGTTCGTATAGTTCCACCTGGGAGCCTCCCAGTACAACCAGCTGTCTACTGCTGACCAAGGAGCAGCTCCACTGGAACGTCCAGGGTCAGGGGCTGTTTTAGAGGCGCTTTGGTGGAGAGCATTAGTCTTTTACTCCCTCCATTCAGGATTTCCCAGTTGCCTCAGGGATTGAAACACCTACTCTAACATCCAGGCTGCCTTTAACTAATTTGTGAGAGGTAGAAAAAGAAAAAAAAAGAAAAAAAGAAAAAAAGAACAAAAAGAAAAAAAAGAAAGACTCACAGGTTCAAAGAAAAAGAATAAACAAGCTATACCTAATTTCTCCCACTTGGGCTGAGATCAATCAATCAGTGACTGTTGGGGAGGCTCACCAGAGAAATAGACCCTTTATTTATGTGGTGAATAAAACCCAAAGAGTGAAGGTGAGAACAGGAGAGTGAGTGGGGAGTGTTGGGAGACTTTCATTCAGTCCCTGTCTCTCTGATCGGACAGAGGTCTTCACTCTGGGCTTTTCCATCCTTTGTCAGGGTCCTTCTCTCCTGCTTCCTCGCTTCTTTCATGTCTGCTTTTTTCTTTTTGTTCCTGTGTGAACCCTCTTTGTCTTGTCCCTTTCTCTCTCCGTCAGAGCAGCATAGGCCGGCGCTGAGGCACTGCTTAGCTCTTAGAAATCTCCCTCCCTCCCTCCCTCCCTC